TTTTTTTTTTTTAAAAGATGACCGGTAAGGGGATCTTAACCCTTGACTTGGTGTTGTCAGCACCACGCTCAGCCAGTGAGCGAACCGGCCATCCCTATATGGGATCCGAACCCGGGGCCTTGGTGTTATCAGCACCGCACTCTACCGAGTGAGCCACGGGCCGGCCCATTGATTTACATTTTTGATAGATAACTGCCAATTGCTCTTCAAATTGGTTATACTAATTTATATTCCTACCAAATGATGTGTGAGAGGAGGCCTTTTTCTTAAATTCTTCCTAACTGGGTATTAATATTTTTTTATTTGTTGCCAATCTGTTGGGCCAAAATTGGTCTTATTTAATTTTCACAACTTTTGATTATTTGTGAGGTTGAGTAGCTTTTCACGTTGATTGGTAATTTGATTTTCTTGGTGAATTTCTTCTCTTTTTCTTTTGTAGAGTTTCTCTGTATATTCTGGTTAATGTGTAAAAGGCTAAAATATTTTCTCCACATCTTTTGCTTATCTTTTAGATTTAAAAAAAAAAAAAAGGTATCTTAATTTTTGTTTGGTCAAATCTGTTAGTCTTTCTTTATATAGCTTTTTAGTAAGGCTTAGAAAGGCCCAAAAAGATAAGGAAAATATTCTACTGTATTTTCTTTTGTTACTTTGTAGTTGTTGTTTTAAAAAAAAGAAACTTTTTTTTAATGTGTCTGGGTTTTAAAAAATTTTTTTGATATGATATGAGGTAGGGATTTAGTTTTATCATTTTGTAAATGCATGGACAATCGAATGTTCTTTTTTTTTTTTCTTTTTCTTTTTTTTGGCAGCTGGCCAGTACAGGGATCCAACCCTGGACTTTGCTGTTATCAGCACCATGCTCTAACAAACTGAGCTAACTGGCCCACCCTGAACGGTCTCTTTCCTGTACTAAATGCCCATGTCGACCTAGGGTTGTTTCTGAACCCTCTATTTTATTTCATTGACTTATCTGTCCTATACCAGATATATTTCCTTATTTTTAATACTTGATAAGGCAACACCCTACCCACCTCACCAAGTTTTTCTTTACTTTCAAAAAAATTATTGGATATTCTCAAGCATTAAATATTCCAGATATACTTTAGAATCAATATACCATTAGGATTTTGACTGTAACTGCAGTGAATTTAAGAGATTAATTTGAGCAAATTAGCATACATTCAGGAATAGGCTAAGTCCTTCAGTAAAGATTTAATTTTCTATTTCTTTTTTTTTTTTTTAAAGATGACCAGTAAGGGGATCTCAACCCTTGACTTGGTGTTGTCAGCACCACGCTCACCCAGTGAGCTAACCGGCCATCCCTACATGGATCCGAACCTGTGGCCTTGGTATTATCAGCACCACACTCTCCCAAGTGAACCACGGGCCAGCCCTAATTTTCTATTTCTTAATGCATTTATTCTAATGTTTTAATATAAAACTCATGGTTTTGCAACATTATTAGTGACCATAACCAAAACTATTCAAAATTGGAAATTTTTATTTATCATTATGAAATCAACATTTACATACATACCTAGCATAAAATCCTGATGGTTATTAAAGGAACATAATTTGATACAGGCTGAATATCCCTTATCTGAAATACTTGGGACAAGAAGTGTTTCAGTGGCTGGCCAGTTAGCTCAGTTGGTTAGAACATGGTGCTGATAACACCAAAGTTCTGGGTTTGATCCCTATCCTGGCCAACCACCAAAAAATGAAAAAGTAAAAGAAGTGTTTCCGATTTTGGTTTGTTTTTCTGATCTTGGAATATTTGCAGTGCAGAATACATACCAGTTAAACACTTTTAATCCAGAAATCCAAAATCCTAAATGCTCCAGTGAGCGTTTCTTTTGAGTATCAGGTTGGTGCTCTAAAAGTTTTGGATTTTGGAGCATTTTGGATTTCACATTCCCTCATTAAGGATGCTCAGCCTGTATGATCTTTTCCTTGTAAAAAAAAAACTTGGTTGAATCTACTGTTGATTTATGCTTTTCCAGACTAAAATGTTAATGGGTGAAGTGATGAGAGAAGCTGCCTTCTCACTAGCTGAGGCCAAGTTCACAGCAGGGGACTTCAGGTAAGAAGACTAAATAGGGTGAAAAAACAAAGTGCTTTCAGATGCATAATTTCATTTTGAAACAATTTTTAAAATAAAAATACATAAGCATTAAAGACAAATGATATAGTAATAATAAGGAAGAACACTTTTTTTTTTTTTTTTTAAAGATGACCGGTAAGGGGATCTTAACCCTTGACTTGGTCTTGTCAGCACCACGCTCAGCCAGTGAGCAAACCGGCCATCCCTATATGGGATCCGAACCCATGGCCTTGGTGTTATCAGCACCACACTCTCCCGAGTGAGCCACGGGCCGGCCCAGGAAGAACACTTTTAACCCAATCATTTTACACCACTATTACCATCTATATATATGTATCTTTTACATAGTTGCAGGTACAGATACTTAATATTTTATAAACTATTTTCATTTAAAATTGTATCATAAACATTAGTCCCTGTTTTCACATGGTTGTATAATCTTTCTCAAGATGCACCATAATTTATTAAACTTTTCTCCTAATGCTGGACCATTGGGTTGATTTTCAGGTTTTTTGATTATTGGAAAAGGTGCAATTAACATCTTCATGTGCATATATTTTTGTTTCTATTGAATTTTTTCCTTAGGGTAAATTTTTGAAAATGGAATCAGTTATATAAAAGGCATGAACTCTATAACTTTTGTCATATCAATATATCCTTTACAAAGCATACAAAATATCAGTTTTCATATGTTATGTGATTCTCCAGATAACCCTGTGAGGTTGATAAGGCAAGCAATTCTCAGTGTTGTTAAAGGCCTTCCTGAAGTCTTGTGGCTTGCTAGGGGCAGAGGTGGAAGTTGTTTTCAGGGAGTGTTTATTTTAGTCTTTTCCCAAAGACATGATACCTCAATCTTAGTTCGTATTATATAGATGCTTTCCCTGGTGGCAGGTCTTACATGAAGACCAGAGTGCCCTTTTAAGTGGTAGACTTTAATTTTTACCAATGCTGATAGGAGAACAAGTTGCATTGACTTTTCCAGCAAAGAGAGGAAATCAATTGTGTGTAAGTGGTACGTGAGTGTATTTGGGGGTGGTTTTGGGAAAACACTTTATGATAACAACAGTTGGGGAGTTAGACAAAGCCAGGTGGAAGTTAGATAGGTTCCTGGGTACAGGAATTAACATGCCAGCTTAACCAATTGAACAGCAAACCTACAAGGAAGGAAAGTTTTCTCCAAATTACACTAACAGAATAAGAATCTCAAAAATCACATCCAGGTACCACTTGTCTGACTGAAAATGCAAGTAATCCACGTACTTTAAAAATCATTCTTTGTTTTCTTATGGCTAATGTTTTGAATATTGTTCATTATCTGCTCTTTGAGGCCCGCCTCTGGCAGCAGTGATTGTTCTCCTTTTCTGGTATAGGGACAATTATCAAAACATATGTAATTGTGACATCTCATCCTTGGTTTCATTTAATGTTGAAACTATCCAGTGGGTCCCTGTATTTCTAAAAAGACAACTTAATAAAAGGCTTTTTCTTTTTCTGCAGCACCACAGTTATCCAAAATGTAAATAAAGCCCAAGTGAAGATTCGAGCGAAGAAGGATAATGTAGCAGGTAGAACTTTTCAACCCTTGAGAATCCTTGGGGGAGAAAAGGTGACATTTTTAAATTAACCTTTTTATACAGCAAGATCTTGATGTTCCAGTTTCTCTCTTCTACCTAGAATAAGTTGATTGGCTTTACATGTTAAAACCATTAATAACCAGATTCCTTATTACTCAGGGTAATTTGACTTTTGAATAGAAATGAACACTTAAGAAGGCAGGTTCCTAAATTCATTAATTGAAACCAGTTACAATTTCAGACAATCTCTCAACTTTTGAGTATTTGATGAAAAAGAAACACAGGAAACAGTGATTTAGAAACAGTACTTCGGGCTGGCTAGTTAGCTCAGTTGGTTAGAGCATGGTGTTATACCACCAAGGTCATGGATTCAGATCCCCTTACTGGCCAGCCGCCAAAAAAAAAAAAAAAAGAAGAAATACTTCAAGGCCATATTTGTGAATCCATATATGCTTCTGCGTTTAACAGGTGTTACTTTGCCAGTATTCGAACATTACCATGAAGGAACTGACAGTAAGTGTGAAACTTTTTATGTTAGGGTGTGTCTTTGAGAATCTTCTATTTCCTCTTTAAATGAGCCTTGTTTGGGAAAATGGTGCTAGATAGACCTTAAGAGTTCACAGCTTTCAGTGTTATAAGCCCTCTTATATACTCGGGACAGTAGTTGATCAGTTGCTATTTCCTCTTTAAATGAGCCTTGTTTGGGAAAATGGTGCTAGATAGACCTTAAGAGTTCAGAGCTTTCAGTGTTATAAGCCCTCTTATATACTCGGGACAGTAGTTGATCAGTTGATCAAGGTCTTATGGCAGGAAGTCATAAAACATTGTACATATCTTAAAATATTTTATTTCATCCTAGAAATATATTAATGTACAGTCATTTGCCATTTTAAAAATGTAAGGCTTTGAGTACAAATCCACTGATTAGACTTTGTCTTTCTACATAAACTATACCCATAATGCATTGTTTATAATTTCCAGTTTGGGTCTCTGTAAAGTAGAATAAGATCTTTGACCCTGTGATGCAATCTGAATGCTGAATCTTTCTAGACTTGTATAGCCCATTCCCAATTTTTTGTTACTGTCTCACCCATTCCTTTCTAATTTGACAGTATATTTTGGATAGTACCACATATTTATCGAGTCTTAACAAAGTAAAGTAGTTAACTTTTTCCATGGAAACAACAATATTCCTTCTTTTGGCACTCATATTTCATTGGTTCATGTGATATTTAACTGAATCATATAGAATATTAAGTACAGCTCATATAAAGAAATAGAGCATTCTAAACCATCACTTGTTAACAGCGTCACTGTACTGTGGGCATCAGGCAGTGTGATTTCCAAAGGGAATAGGCAGCACTGGCTAATCCAGCAAGCTAGTGAAGCAAAAGTTGGTTCAAAGTTTCTCCTCTAGAATTGGTAAAGGGACATGAAAATCAACTACAATGTATATTGAGAAGTTAAAAAAAAAAAAGTTTCTCCTCTAGTTATGTTTAGAATGGTATCCTTTTAGAGAACTTTATTTAGCACACGCTCCTACAGTGTTTGCATTTTACAGGGGTTAGTGAATTTGACTTTCCATGTTTGGTATTATTCTTTTGAATTATCTTCTTTTTGGGAATTTTATGGGGAAGATTATTTACTCTTTAATTCCAAATGTCATCCAACTGGTTCTGTCAGGTTATGAACTGACTGGTTTAGCCAGAGGTGGAGAACAACTGGCTAAACTGAAGAGGAATTATGCCAAAGCAGTGGAACTATTGGTGGAACTAGCTTCACTGCAGGTAAGTAGCAGAACAGCCAGAGAACTCCTGCAGTTTTGATTTCTAGAGTGGAGGAGATTCAGGTCTTGAGTCAGAGCATACTGCACACTTTGTATTTTCAACTTCCCTGAAAGCACTATATACTTTCAATTTCCAAGATCCTATGTGAAATGAGCCTAATGTTTTAATTTCTAAAATGGTGGCTTCTGTACCATTGCCCCTGCTTTTCATTATTAACAAAATGTACATGCATGGTACAGTCTCACTCTTTGCTAGGTGAGTACAGCAACAGTTGATACTAGGTTTAAATACAAACATAACATGGTTTGTGCGTGAAGGCAATTTTTTCCCTTTGTGGCCAGTTTATATATATATATATAGATTATGAGTGGATTATGTCTTTATTTAGGTGAGTCTGAAGTAAACAAATTATAATAGCATGGAAATAGGGTTAGCTCTATGGAAATCTCATAAGAATCTTGTTTTTTAAGCATGCTGAAAAGAAGTTGTCTTGGTTCCCCAGTGTTTTTTACAAGTGCAGTCTGAGTGGAGCCAAGTGAATAGGGCATGATGAAGAAGACTTTGTGCTTACATTGTTAATTTGTCCTCATATTTAGACTTCCTTTGTTACTTTGGATGAAGCTATTAAGATAACCAACAGGCGTGTAAATGCCATTGAACATGGTGAGTATAAGCTGCTGTGAGGCAATTTGTTCATTCACTTGTCCGTACCTCTCCACCCGTCATACAACTACTTAGACTCAGGCACTGTACTGAAGATTGAAAAGTAAGACACTGCCTCTGTCGTACCTCTCCACCCGTCATACAACTACTTAGACTCAGGCACTGTACTGAAGATTGAAAAGTGAGTAAGACACTGCCTCTGCCCATAGTGCAAAGAGAGGTGACACTAGTACAAAAAAGTGTTTTGATAGAAGTATGTGTATGATTTGGGGGAGTTACAGAGAAAAGTAGTGAGTTTTATCCATTTCTGGTTATTCATGCAGTTAGTAAAGGGTGGAAACTCTCAAGAGCCTTAGTGTTTCCTTTAGTTCTTTCTAAGGGTTGAGCAATATATCTTTTTGAATATATTAAATCTTTAACTTTAAATCCTTCTCCTTTAAGGCCATTTGCCTTGATTTCTGAAAATAAATGTTTCCATTTGATGCATTTATTTTCAAACTCTGTTATTTCATTATTTAAAAAAGCTTTTTAAATGCTTTTTGCTCAAAAAACTCAATTTTCATTAAAGAGACATTTATTCACTTTTAAGGTAAGAAAGGAGCAAAATTTGAAGCAAAGAAATTCCTTTGCTTGGTGCTCTATTAGTGTTAGGAAGCTATCTCATTTTTTAAAAAACTCAAAAACATATTTCTTGACTGCTTGCTAGTTCCAGGCCTTATTCATGGAACTGCAAGCAAAGCAAAATGGATTAGGTTAATAGTTTTCACCCTCAAGGAGGAGTTCAAGTTCTAGAAGCAGAATAGGCAAATTCTATGTAAAGTAGAAACTAATGACTGACAAAACTCAATTTATTGCATTCTCTCTGCTCAGTTTTTTTAACAGTGGATTGCTATTATATTTAAAATAAAATCTGTGGCTCAGTGTTATATATTCATATGTATTCATTATATTCATTGTTTTATCTATTGTAGTCCAATATGTTATCTGTGCATAGAAAAGACACTAGAAGGGCACATCCTAAAATATTTACAATAGTTACTTTTGGGTGGTTTGATTATACTTCTTTTTTGTGTTTTTGTTTTAAATGCATTAAATGTACATTAATTTTACAATTAGAAAAAAATAAGTAACTATTACACAAATGAGCACTGGTAATTTGAAAACAGAGGGTTTGAAGTTCTCATGTGTATGTGTATTTTTTAAACTCTAGTCATCATTCCCCGGATTGAACGTACGCTTGCTTATATCATCACAGAACTGGATGAGAGAGAGCGAGAAGAGTTCTATAGGTTTGTTGAAGTTGGCAATTATTGTTCATTTTTTGTGTTCCATATGAATTAGTCCATTTCTGTGGCTTGTAATATGAATATCTGAAACTGGGTAATTAGTAAGAAAACAAATCTTATTGCTTACAGTTTCAGAGGCTGGGAAGTCTAAAGTCCAGGGAACATATCTGGTGAGGGTCTTCCTTGGTGGTGGCTTCAGCAACACAGGAGATCACATTGCAAGATGGTGGAAGCAGAGAGGTTCCTCATGGGCTCTCCTTTTAAAGCCCTCAGAACCATGCCCAGTATTCCAAGAATGGATCAATCCATTCACAAGGGTATAGTCTCACAATCTAATCACCTCTTCAAGGCCCTACTTTTCAACTACCACAATAGCATTTCCCATTCTCTTAACACTGTCACAGATGGGGTCAAGTTTTGGGGGAACATTCAGTCCAACACACCATATTCCAAAGGCTCTATCTGCTGAGAGATTAGTTGGCTTATGTTCTTCAGAATTAGCACAGCTTGTATTTTATTCTAATAAAAAAGCAAGAAATAATATTGCCAAAGGCTGTAGAGACAAATTTGTGTTAAGTTTTGCATGTACCTAAAATATGTCATCGCCAAAAGCTTAGGCCTTTCAGAGAAACTATTAAGACTTGATTATTTAAAATGAAATGATTATTTAAATTGGGCATCTCATATGTAAAAACTGAAAGAAGAAACTGGAATTAGTCAATCAACAAATATGTATTATATGTTGAATATGTTCAGGAGAAGGTATAAAGTACTAGAGGGCATTACCAAATAGTATAAATCATACCATTAGAGAATCAGTACAGTACTTGGAGAGAAATGATGCATGTCCACGAATTGGTTATGAACATTTAGATCCAGTAGAGATAAATAAATATTAAATTGGTGATGTACAGGGGCCAGTTCAGAGAAGTGGGAGGTAGGTGAAAGCAAGTAATATTCATATTCAGAGAAGACATGGCAATCTTAGACTTTGAGCAGCATCTGAGTAGGATTTATCATCTTAATTATCAAAGGTTATTTAGTTTCTGTCCTTCAGTAACGTTCAGGGTTGTGGTGATCCAAAATTTTAATAAATGTCTGAATGCTCAAAATCTGTCCTATTTGGAAATGGATTTCAAAATTTATTTAACCTGGGATAGGAGCTTGTGAAATCAGTTATTATCTTAAAATAGTGTATTCTACCTCGAATCCTGTTTTTAGTGAGTTATGAACATATTACTGAAATTGAGATTAATAGAAGTATCAAATTTTGTTCTAGTTGTAGGTGTTTATTTTCCTTGTTACAAAACTGGAAGAAATCAGATCTACTTAGTACTGAAACAGCAATTCAGAAAATCCCCCCCTTTATTTTACAAGGTTAAAGAAAATACAGGAGAAGAAAAAGATTCTCAAGGAAAAATCTGAGAAGGACTTGGAGCAACGGAGAGCTGCTGGAGAGGTGATGGAGCCTGCTAATCTTCTGGCTGAAGAGAAGGACGAGGATCTTCTGTTTGAATAATCTTTCCTGCTCTCTTCTTTCAGAAACCCTAACACTGGCTGCATTTTAATTCACAATGTGTAGGTTTGGTATGTGTGGCAATTTACTTTTTGGCCTAAGAATTTCACTGGGGGTGATTGGTTAGCTCACTTGATTAGAGTGTGGTGCTAACACCGAGGTTTGGATCCCTGTACTGGCCCCAGCTGCCAAAAAGAAAATTTCACTGGTTATAAAATTTACCTGGATGTCCACTTACGGGATTACTTTCACAGAATCATAATCACAGATCAAAGAGATTTGTAAAACCTGTCCAGCAACTTATAGAATTTATTCTACCTAAGTGTAATCGTACTCCATTTACATCTGCGTTACACATGACCTGCTTACGTGGAAACTTTAGTGATCTCAGGCCAACTACCGTGGAGCAGCCTTCATTCCTACCCACTTGAAACACCATTGTCAGACAGCTGCAATCATCCTTGTGTTACTGTACTTCTCTCCTCAAGCTTTCTGAAAACCATCACTTTTCCTTGCATGACAGGTCTGTCTTGTCTGTCATGGCAGCAATTCTGCCAATTTAAATGTGATTATGGTATAAACAGTAAAATTATTTAAAAATAAGTCGTTCCTTTTAAAAATTAATTTACTGCTAATAACAGTCACGTTCTTATGCTCAGATCAGCACACAGTACTGTCATCCACAGAACTTTCTCTCCTGACATGTAGGAAGCAGGTAGCCTTTTCCTCGCCTCCATATATCAATGTTTTACTAAACGGCTTACTTTGAGACAATTGTTGCATTTGGGGGTACTAATAAATGGTTGCCAGCGAGTTAAGAGGACTTTTTTCCTAAGCTAGGAAAAATACTAATTCCCATTTCGTAGTAGTAATAAGATAACTTTTTACTATTTTATAAGCAATAACAACTTGCCATCTTTCACATATGAAGATGAGGCACTTAAGTGACCTGATGTATTAGGAGGTGAGTGAGGTTTCTAGACTGTTTGATTTGGCATAAGCTATCTATGATTACTCAGTTTTTCTTCCAATTACTTCCAGGCAGTTTTGGCATTGGCCATGGACGTTTTAAGTTATGAAATTGTGACACTAGCTTTGTTAGTATTGTATTTTAATCAACTGATATCACAGTCTAGGCTTCTTAAAGTACTAAATGATTTTGCAAACATTTAACACCTGTTATAAAATAATAGTTGTTTTAAGTGCTTATGATCTCATCATAATAACCATAAGAGGTACATATTGCTTTAACCACACACCCTCTCTCCCAATTCGAGGAAAAATTTGAGGCAGAGAGCTTGACTAATTGGTCCTACGCTAAAAAGCTAGAAAATGGTGAATCCAGGATTTAAATCCAAGCAATCTACCTTCTGTTATTTATTACACTCTTAACTTTTATCCTTTCTGCCTCCTCTATTTAAAACTTTGAGTATTTAAAGGTAAGACATAGGACCCATCCTGAAGGATCTGATTTTCAGGAAATCCCATTGCTGCTCACAGAATAAAATTTCAGATTCAGTGTAAATTTGGTAGCGATTGGAAAACCAACATCTAAGTTCACAAGTTTTTTTTTTTATTTTTTGTCCTTTTTTTTGAGACCGGCTGCACCGTGCTCAGCCAGTGAGTGCTGTGAGCGCACTGGTCATCCCTATATAGGATCCGAACCCGCGGCAGGAGTGCTCCTGCGTTCCCAGCGCCGCACTCTCCTGAGTGCGCCACGGGCCCGGCCCTAGTGAGTGCTGTGAGCGCACTGGTCATCCCTATATAGGATCCGAACCCGCGGCGGGAGTGCTCCTGCGTTCCCAGCGCCGCACTCTCCCGAGTGCGCCACGGGCCCGGCCCAGCCTGGCCCTGAGTTCACAAGTATTTTAAAAATAGGTAACACTGAACTGTTTAACATCTAATCCTTCCAACACCCTGGTGAGGTGTAAATTTTACCATCTCCATTTTGCACATCAGGCAATTGAGGCTTTGCTAGGTCAAGTAGCACAGCTGGAATGCAAGTCAGGTGTATCTTGATTTCAGAGCCTTGCTGCTAAAGTACTGTGCATTGCTTCTATAGGAGGAAAAATTAGTTTTAAGGTTAGGGTAGGGAGCCAGATAATTTAGTGGTTTTTCATTGAGGTAAATTCAATGTTCACCTTCAAGCATTGAGCCAAAAGCCCCTAGATTTCTTCTGAGGGCTTCTTAAACTTCTGGTATTCATTGGCCTTGGATAAACTGCCTACAAAACTGCATATGATTTTATGGTTCAGGATTTGTTAAAAGGAAATGGAGAAAGTAGCAGACAGATATGTTGTGTGGAGTTGGAGTGATCTGATCCATAGGGGAGGGGAATAGATCAGGAATAGGAATAGAAAGCTGGACTATGGTAGCCGGTGTGTACATGTATGAAACTTCCTGTTGGTATATAACTTTTGTCCTTTGGGAGACAGAGTGTAGAGTAGAAAAAAAGGGAGAAATGAAGAATAGAGAAATGAACTATGTTATATATTTGCCAATAACTCACATGCTATCCTCAGTGTCCTCAAATCCCTGGCTGCATATTAAGTAAATTACATATCTCTTTCTCCAGAAAACTTTCAAGTTCACAGCCTTAAGTTGTCCATCTTTAATATAGTTATTTAACAATTAGAGAAACAGGACCTACCTACATTTGTGCCAACAGGGGGTACTCCCCCACCATAAAGAACAAAAGGTATTTTATGTTCCAACCAGAGATTCCAATGGTCTTGCTTCTGGAAAAAACGTGAAGAGAAGGGTGGTCTTTACATGTGTTGAAACTCTGAATGGCAGAGGATATAAACACAGCAAGAGAAAACACTCAGTGGTTTTTTATATTTGAAATATAATTTTACTTTTATTTTTACAATACAGTGTGCAGTATGACATCTCAAAATAACAGAGTGCAGATACAGTATCAGAGATACAAAGGGGAATTAACAATAGATGTCAGAAAGGTTACCTTTATTAAGACTAAATCCCTGGTTTATACAAGTATTTTCCACACACATTCACAAAATTACATTCAAATCATTTCTTATCAATACTTATTCCTTGGGCTATGCAAAAAGTAAAAAAAACACCCAGACAAATTTTCACAGAAAGCAAATCTGGATTAGTCTAAATACTGTTCTCCTTCCATCTGTTCTTATGAAAATTTAGGAAATGAAGATACAGTTGTTCCTCAGTGTCAGCAGGGGACTGGTTCCAGGACCCGCCCCCAATACCAAAATCTGGGGATGCTCAAGTCCCTTATGTAAAATGGTGTAGTACACACATCCTCCCACATATTTTAAATCATCTCTATATTGCTTACAATACCTAATATAATGCAAATGCTATGTAAATAGTAGCTATACTGTACTTTTAAATTTGTATTTTTTTATTGTTGTATTTTTACTTTTTTCCCCCTGAATATTTTTGATCCATGGTTGGTTGAATTTGCAGATGTGGAACCTATGGATATGGAGGTCTGACTGTATTTCCTTATTTGGATTTTCCAAGTACATTTTATTAGCTATAGGTATCATTTCTATAATAAGTGGCTAAGATCTCCCCTACACCAGGGTCTCCAATCAGAACCACAGAGGGACAGGAAATAGAACTGGCCAGAGTGGCTGTATAACTAGGTATATAGCAAGGCTTTTTTCCATAGTCTTTTGACGAAGTCAGGAGCAACTCAGTTTTCACTTTGTTTAGGGACTATATTGAATATCAGCACATCCATATCACTAGGATTTATAAAAGTTTGAGACATATACATTCTATCTCTCTACCATTGCTGATGAGGAAGGAGAGAACTACAGGACTTCACTGACCAAGCAAATACCTATCACCTTAGATTTCCTAACAATATATGGCATGGCACATGCCTTGGTACAGGGTCTGCTTGTTAAAGCCATGTGTCTGAATTTTGCTAGCACACTGCCCTATTGCAACCCTACTCTCTGCAAGTAGCCCAATAGCCACTCACTGACATTATCTAAAACCTCATAGTAACTTAACATGAACTGTCAATATTTTAGATCTTAGGGTTGAAAATATAGTCGGGGACTGTCTTACGGTGGTTTAACTTATGACTTCGACTATGATGGTGCAAAAGTAATATGAATTCAATAGAAATGTAAGGTAGGCTAGGCTAAACTATGATGTTCAGTAGGTTAGATGTACTAAATGTAGTTTTGACTTATGATACTTCCATCTTGGGGTTTACTGGGATGTAACCCCACTGTAAGTCAAGGGGCATCTGTAGTTGACAGTTGAAATAAGCAGATTGCAAGATTCTATTGTCGACCATAGACTACCTTTCATTACTAAGGAGAAAGTAAACTGAAAAACTGAAAAGCACTAAGTACGTTCTTGGTTTTCAATGCTGAAAATCGGTGTGAACTTTGCATTTTCCTGCTAAAAGGTGGAGTGTTTCAGACCTGAATAGATAGTATATATGTTATTCATATACACTCAACTCAGGTATGTTACTTTCTTCCTAAGGAACATTGTCTTGAAAATATTTCAACATAAGACACACTCCCCAGCCAACTTAAGAGGCCATGCAAATATGAACAGAAAAAGGCAACATATAAATTGTCTACATTTGTTCACATAAAATTATGTAGAAGAGAAAAAAAATCAAATATATACATGACACTGAGACAAACTACTCATTAAAAACAATTGCTTATGTTAAATTAAGTGACAAGTCAGTATTATTCCAGTGTTTAGTTTTGGGAACAGGAAATGCTGTAGCTAAAGTCATCATAAAATCAAGGCATTCACATTTTCGGCTGTTTGTCACACTATCCTTAAAGGCTTTAAAAAACTACAAATTAACTTCTATTGCAATTTTAGACACTGAATTTTAAAGCTACAGCTATAGAGACAGTACACAAATCCCATTAGCTTAAACATTTCTTTTATGAATTAGCAAGCTGTTGCATTCTGGTCAAGTACAACATTTGTTTTCACACATTTTAGGGCATCATAATCTCTTCCTAAAAGTAACATCCCCCCGTAATGTTCTTTTCCTAAAATGTTCAGTTGACTTTCAGGTCTTCCTTTCCTTCTGATGTCAAAGTCAATTGGATATATATAATTTTATTCCAATGCTGAAGTGTTCAAAGTGTTATCAATGACCATTTCTTAATCTGTAAAATATTAGTATACAGTACAGCAGCTATATTCATTACCATAATTCCAGTTTATTAACTATATATATAGCACAGTCATGGAATTATACTGTGTTCATATATAAAAATGCAAAAACTGTCAAATGTGCTATGTCCTCCCATGTATATAAAAAACTATTTGCATCACGAGGAAGAAACTTACTTTTTAACAGTTAACACAGTTTACACAAACACCTCCCATTCATAAAAATGTAACTTAAACATTCTATTGTACTATGTAGATGAGAGAAAAGAAGCTTAGGTTATCAAATCAGTTGCAACAATTTAAGAAAAAAGTTCAGGAAATCATATCTTTTATTTTTTTAGCATATTTTGTATACCTTTAACTAGATTAGAGTCTGCTCAGTGTGCAGTCTGATCCACAAAGTTTGAGCTAAAAAACTGGTACTTTTAACGGAATGGGTTTTTTCTCGC